TCATTTTAAAAAAACAAAATAAAATAAAATTTCATGTACTATTTTGACTTTGTATAGTAAATAACTTTAGAAACAGAAGAAAAAATATGAAAATTTGTCGTGGAAATCAAATTGGAAGTAATTAATTATACTAAATGCAAATGGTACTTTATGTTTACACTTGTTTAGGATAAAAAGAGTGAAAATCAAGTATTTCTCAACCTCTACTAAGTTGCGTCCTCATGGACTCTACTTACCGACACTTTTGACGGTATTCGTTTGGTATTGTTTTTAATGTCGTTGGTATATAAATATAACCAAAGCAAGCCTAATTGGTATTCTTCTTTGGTACCGACAAACTCCTTATTGGTATTTCCTTTGATACCAACGAACTCTTAATTGGTATTTCTTCTGATACCAACGAACTCTTAATTGGTATTTCTTTTGATACCAACAAATCCTTTATATAATACTAGCTTTTAATATCAACTAATGTTCACTCGTTTTTCACTTAATGACTTTTATCGGTATTAGTTATCACAACTCTACTACTTATATATTGAAATAAATTACCTTAACGGTTTAATAGCCCACCATGCTTCGCAATAATAATTATTTAACTAGAGAGTTTTGACCAATACCTGAACTTAGTCGACAAAGGAACCTCCGGCGTTCTGAGCTTCCAGCTTTACCGAGGTAGCTAACCCCAACCCTGTCTTCCTTAGATCAAGCACAACACATATCTAATTCGTTTCCTACCTTAGACCGTAATCTCTAATCAAACAATTTTTACTGTGTTTATGATGGAACTTCTTATACAAAAAGATAACTCACTTGATATATAAGGTTCAAGGGGATAACGTTCCCTTCTTGAACAAAAATTTTATTTAATTTGAAAAGATTACAACACTCGTATATTACTACAAACTGCTTGAAAGCTTAAACAGACATAAGTTGGACTAGAGTTTTCTCTAATTTAAGAGAGATGGATAACCAATTGTCTCTTAAGGTGAGTATTTTTCTCTAGAGGACTCTCTAATGTTTTCAGAAGAATTCTCTAGCTAACTATTCAAACTCTGCCTTCACTTCTTTGCCTAATGCCTTTATATAGGGGAAGGCTCACAAAGGTCACCGAGACTTTCTATGGCTTACAGAAAATCATGACTCAGCAAGTAAATATCGTTCACTGCTTTTCTAAAGATACTTCAAAACAAATAAAACTGCTACAACAGTGAAAGTAGAATACATTATTGCTGGTGTGGACTCAGGATTCCATTATCCCGTCCATCATCATATCTTGTAGACCACCCTCACTGTCCTTACTGTCTCATAATGGACATACATTTGGTTGTCTTCTTCTATACCGAGATCCATCACACATTTGGCAGCATAGGATTCATCCCATGTGAGAAAGATCTCCAATAAGTGCTCTTTTCCCTCTAAGGATAAATATCTCCCAACTTCAACTTGTTCTAGATAATCATACACTGATTCACCGTGTAATACTCCTTCTAAATAATTTCTTAACCATTCTGGTGCTACTATTGTAGTATTCCCCACATGTATTATGACTGGTGGTTCTTCTTTTATTGCTATGAATTGGTTAAGATACTGAGCAATATAGAAAAATCCATAAGCTCTTACCTCTATAGGATCTTTTACTCGTCTCTGCTGGATACAGATTGGATCTTTGACTTTGCGATGAACATCTTCAAACATGATCATGAAATGTGGAGAGCTAACTTATCCTTCAACCATTTCGATGTTTGCACTTTGCACTTGGACTTGTTAAACTCTTCCATTGTATCTTGTTGCATCGTAAATTCTTCTACATACATACCTCCAGAATTTTGTAAGCTTCTCAAAGAAAGCAGTATTATTATCAGGAAATGGTACAATGCTATGAACCATTCCATACCCCAAGCTCTGTAGTGCTTCGCCACATATGGTGCCCTCCATTCCAGAGAATGTGGGTGAATTGACACAATACCCACTCTGGAATTAATGTTAAACATTATTCTACTTCCCCATAGATCATAAACATCATACAACTTGTATGACCTTGATACAACTAAATTGTACCAGAATCTAAATTCGTTTTATTTTATTTTATTTAGTATTATATCCTGAATATCAGGAATGAGTCGCAGGATAATGACCATTACTTCGTACATTAGGAACCTTCGAACTGCTACATGACAACTTTTAATCAAACCATCTCGAGATCTCTTTTTTGATGAAACAATCTTGGCCTCCATCAAGGCCCAAGTGGAGGGTGAAACCCGCTCCATTGCTTTATCAGTTTCTTCAATAAGAGTTTTTCTCTCTGCCTCCATCTTTTCTAGTTGATGGGCAGGAGGTTTTTCTGATGTCTTGTGCTTCTTCACCATTGGCTAATTCTCTGGTCAAGCTATCTGCCAAAAAATTCTTTGATCCCTGTATATGTTCAACAATAAAAGAGAATTGGTTAAGCCATAATTGCCAACGCAAGAGTCTCCCTTGCGCTTGCATATTAGACAAATTTTTTTTAACAAAACCAAGTATGCCTTGCAATCTGTTCTTATTAAGAATTGTTTAGGGGCTAAGAAGATTAAGAACTTCTCGATCCCTCTAATGACCGCAAGGATTTCCTTTTGCATTGTACCATACTCAACACATTTATCTTTTCCAAGGATTATACCATGCTCAACACATTTTTAAGTTACAGCTTTAAGATCATTCTTATATTGTTCTAAATCTTTTGAGAATATTATAAAATCATCTATATAAACCAAACAACAATATTAAGCTCTCTGAAAATATTATCCATTCTTCTCTGAAATATATATGGGCATTTTTTAATCCAAATGGCATTACTAACCATTCATAATGCCCTTGAGGGGCACTAAATGCAGTTAATGGAATGCTTTCTTCTTCCATTTTAATTTGCCAGTAGCCACTCTTACAATCCATCTTAGAAAACCATGTGGCTCTTTGTATTCTATTAAATAACACAGTTTTATTAGGAATGTAATAGTCATCAAAGACAGTATTGTCATTTAGCTGTTTCTAATTAATGACCATTCTAGCTTTACCTTTTTTTTCTTCTGCATGATTCCTTACCATAAATGTTGGTCTATTGTGAGGACTCTTGCTATTCCTAATTAACTTTTTATTCAAAAATTCTTTTATTTGTTCATCAAATTCCAATATATCTTGGTAGGTATAAACTATTTGTCTTACTCTAATAATCTTATTAGGATTTGTTAGAGTTATCTTAGCAAATGTCTTATCCTTTTCCCAATGTTCTAATGGATTTGTTGAATATAATTTTTCACATAGTTTTTCTTGTTGCTTACTTATCTGATCTATTAATGATGAATCACACTTAGAAATTCTAAGTGCAACCTCTCGTTGTGTAGGTGTAACCCTATCAGCGGCTACACATAAACTCCATAGTCTAATGAGTATAAGCCTTTGTTATTTTCTGTATATGAACAGAATGACCATTAATAGTAAAGATAATTTGATCAATGGTTTGAGTGCATGGAGAGTATAATCTTTGAAAATTGTTTCCTATTATCATATTATGACTAGGTTGATCAGTTGCCTATAAAATAGGAATAACACATTGAACTCCTCCAATTTCTATTGGTAATTCTTCAATTATTTCCGTATGCATCATGACACTAATATTAGAAATTCTAACTTGCATAGGATTTTTAGCCTTTTTCCATAAGAGTTCTGGAAATAATGACCTTTTTCCAAAACATGTAGAACAACCACTATCAATATATGCACATAATTTATATTTATTATAATCTTCAATGCATATATCATTAGGAATATAAATGCTATTAGGATTAGTACTGGATATTTCATTACAAGCTTCCATTTGCATATTAACTTCATTTTCATGTACTGGTTCACTCACAGTTTTGGTCTTATATCCAATTACCTTTCTTTTTTCAAAAATAGGATTATTTGGATCCTCATTTATCTCTAAATTAGAACATGAACCAATATCAATACTATGTCTTGCTGGTTGTTTCAAGGCCTTTTTAATTTCATATTTTTCATTTAGCTTCTTTATTAAAGCTAATATTTCTTCTTCATCTTCTTCTGACTTTTCATCGACTTGTTTTTTCATCTTTATTATAGTTGAATTTTATCTACTTAGACTTGGTGTTCTAAGACTCATACTTCTCTGCATTTTAGGATTTGTAGTTAACCCAATATGAAGTAATCCTGATTCATCAATTAACATCTTACTTGACCTATTTTTTACTGCAGGATTCATGAAGAATTCTTCCCAAGTTTTTTCAATTTCAATCTCGTTAGGATTTACTTTTATAGGGTAATTTTCTTCTTAGAGCCTCCTCCTTGTTCATATTTCTGAGCATCTACTATTTGTTTCTTGAAAGATGAATCTATAGTGTTAACCAACTTGTAGACTACCTTCCATCTTAATTGTATGGGTCGAGTTCCTTTATGCATGTTTACTCCATCAGTTAATAACTTGATTGCTAGAAACCTTGGAGCATATGAATCTTCTAAGCTCACATAATATCTAGGTTCGCATATATAACTTACAGTTCCTTGACTCAAGCTACAAGTGATACCACTAATAATCTGCTAATAGAATTTTTTATGTCTAATATCACAAACAAAGCTTAAACATTTAACATTTTTACCAAAAATCTTGTACAGGAATTATGTATACTTGCACTGCACCAATACAAATATAATTATAATTTCCTTTTTTTTATGGTTCTTAATGCTTTTCCAATTTGTGATATTAATTTGTGCTGCTTTCTTTTCACAATCCTCGATTACTATACTTCCTTCCATTTCTTCACATACATATTTGGTTCTAGTTTTAAAGAAAGAAGTTTTAAATATTTTATCTTTAGTAATCTGAGGAAAATTCCAACTTTCTCTGTTCATTTGGTCTAGGTCTTTATCTTCAATTGAATACTCAGCTCTTTTTAGTTAACCTATAGTCATTTTACTTTTATCCTCATCGTCTGATTATGAGTTTTCTAATACTTCCCTTCCATCATATTATTTATTTCTTCATAATTTCCATCTTCAAACTCACTGTCTTCAGGTTCTTCATTATACTCATTTTCTTCTTCTATGATTTCTACTATTCCTTTATTATTACTTAAAGCCAAATTGAAAGCCTCATCTTCTGGTATTTCTATGTAGTCCCAACTACCTAAGGCTTCCATTAGTTTATGATTAGCTTTCTTACATTCATTAGCATAAAAATTCTCCACAAGACCAACACTCTGCAATACAATCCTTGCTTTTGAGAATTGAGATGTAAGGGCTTTCTATATTTACGTTTGTAATACTTCTTCTTATAGGTTTCTCCTCTTGATTTGTCAAATTTAAATTTCTTATAATTCCTTCTCTTATTATAGTTTTTTCTCTCACATCCATAATTATTTGGGAAATCCCAACAAGTGAGAAATTGTCTCTTCATTTGTTGAGTTCCTGCAACCTCTCTACATTTATTTTCAATCCATTTTCTTAGAAAAGCAATTCTATTACCTAGGGCATCCCTAGCTAAGAATTTCTCTTTCCATTCTTGATATTTTTCACTAATTTCTTCATTAAGAGGACTTGGTAATTTATTGTAGAACATTCCAAGATTTGTTTCATTTTCACCAATTTTATAATAATATGTTTCAAACTCCATAAAGTAATTATCAACATATTTCATATTACAGATGGACAAATTACTTAACTTTTTTTGATATTTCATTCGTTTTTCATTAGGATCAGCTCTAGGACCAATGAATTCTAACTCAATGTATTGACATAACTGTCTAAACATTCTAGTAGGAGATTCACTGGCTGTTAATGTAGTTTTGACTTCTTCGTCTACACCATCATACCAGTCTTCTACACAGCCATAAAAACTATGTTCAATATAGTTTAAGAAATTTTCAGAAGTCCATTCAGTGTTTAAATTGAGTATACTACTCATGCTCTTCTTCCACTGATCTAAAACATCTTGTCTATCTCTTACACCATCTAAGTTAAGCTTATAACTAGTTTGACTTATAGGTTCAAGAGTCACTTCTTCTTGTTTAGGTATTTGGTTAGGCATAACAACCGGGTAGTCTTCCCTAGTATGTATCTTGGTCGTGTGCAACTTCCCTCTCCTTGATACCTAGGTCTTTGGATAACATTATTTACATTAATAATTTCATTAATAATTTCTTCTCCAACATTATTATTATTCATTACCCTTTTACCTAGTTTATTTTCAATCTTTTGCTGAACAACTTCTATAGGCAGAAAATCTAGATCATCTAACTTCATTAATCCCATTTGTTGATATAAATCTTCTTCTAAAGAAACATAATTATTTTCCTCTGTTTCATTATCAGAAGCAATCCCTTTTTCAGAAATTAAGTTCATGATTTCGTTTAGTTTATCAGGGTCTTCTTCTTTCTCAAACAAGATTTGCAATTCTTCAATCGTTTTCTCCTGAAGATGATGGCTCATCTTGAGTTTCTTTGTTCTTTTCTTGGTTACTAGTAGGTCTTTAGGGAGTGATACCGTAAACTTTTTATTTTTATCTAAATTTTGAAAAGGATATTTATATTTATAAGGAACAATTTTTTCTTTACTAGGTGATGCTTCTTTATTAGATTGGTGACTAACCTCGTTAGTTAAAGCAAGTTGTACTTGTTTAACTTGTTCTTTTAAATCGCTTACTTTTTTTATTGATATCGGTTGTGGTTATTGATATCTTGTTTTCAATATTAATACAACGAGCATGTATGTTATCAACTTATGATCTTAATTCACCAATTTGATCTACTATATAATTAAGGACTGGGCGAAAATTACTAGTATTTTCAGGAATATGATAGTAATGCTTACAATCGAGTTTCTTACACTCAGTAGAAGGCCTAGTATTCTCCAATTTTACTTAATTAAAAATTTAATTAACAACTTAGTTTAACTTTTAACCGTATGACTTTGATACCAAATCGACGCAGCTAGATACCAACAAATTTGTGGTTAGGATACCAACAATTTAGCAACATATACCAACAACAATATTTGCTAAATATGATACCAACCGCAGTACTATAATAACGATACCAATTTATCGTAGGATGATATTTAGATATTACTAAGGATGGTATTACCTATATATCTTGTTGATACTAAATTATAGTATACAAATAAGGTTTTTTTTTTTTTTTTTTGTTAAATTACGAAAATAACCTTAGTTGAGTCTTTTTTGGATTATAGCTAGTTGAGGCTTAGAATTTCCCCACTTGTTTTGGCATTATATTGCATGGTCTGAAATTTGCTGACAAAATTACTGTAGAATAGCATAGCATAGCTAAACAAATTAAAAGGCGTAGTAATAGTTTCTCTTCTAGTGTGTAACATTAATTAAAATGTTCAGCCTATAAAGGAGCTGAGGGTTTACGTCTACATACTTTTTGGTAAGAAATCTTAATTTAATAATATGACAGTTATTAATTTCTACTGCAAAAATATTTATGAGTAAATTACTCAAAGCTGTTGCCTTAGCTTTTTCTGACACAACTACAGTTGTTATACGTACGTACGTACTGTAACTGACGTTCTTAGGGGGTTAAAACTTAAAACAGATGGAGTAACTTTCAATTCTAAAGATATTGCTATTCAAAATCTTGCCTAATACATGAAAATAACATGTTTATACAAACTCCTTATTACATGTACCAATACCAATAGACAAATAGTGTGCGGTGCCTGTCTTACACCATTGTAGCACACCTACGTTGCTACGCATAGGCAACTAGTTGTATACTCCATTCTTTTTGGATTAATGGTATGTATTAGGAATTTCTTTCTTAAGGATTTTCTAATGTTTTCTTCTTTTTCTTACTTTTAAATAAAATAGACTTGATAGATATTACATACTTTGTATTTTATGGAAAGTTATACCAATAGGATTGAAGAGGCTTTATAATAGTGAAGATTTTACTCTCTGCTTCGTAATATATTGTCTATTTAATTCATAGTACGTATCTAATGATATCTTATTTACATCATTATGTTTTTTTTTTATACTATATTCTCCGTAGATGAGAATACTAGATCAATACAGTATTTTTTAACGTTAGACTGCATATATAAAAATACAAAAGGAGTACAACATATAATATAAATAAAATTTTAATCCATAACGATTGATTCTTTTGTTCTCTCTAGGGTGTCTCCATGGAAGGATTTTCTGGTTTCCTCTAGGGTTTCTCCCTTAGGAGGGTTTTTCTAGGCTCCATTGTTAGATTTTTTTAGGCTTTTTTGAAGGTTTTCTTTCACTCTTCTCTTTTCCTCTCATTCTCTTTCATCTCTTTTCTTGTGGTTTCATTTGTGAATCTTTGTAGGGGGTTCCACATGTGTTTTTACCGGTGGTAAGCCCTAAAAATATTTTTAATTGCTTTCAATAAATGGATCCCATCTTTAAGATGATGGTTTTTCTATTAGGCTTATTTTCTTTTTTTTGTTCGTTTGCCGAAGATTGAAGATTTAGGATTTCATAATCTCCGGAAGTATTTAGAAGACCGTATCAGTATTTTCACTCATACAATTATTCATCAGTGGATCTCAAGCCGAATTAGTACTAACTCACAGATTTTATTGCTTCAGATGAAGTTTTATATTAAGGCGATCGTTGATCGAATCTGTGATGTAACTTATTCTAAGGTGATTTGTACTTGTGTTGGAATTTTAAATTTCCTAAAAATTGTTTATAAATATCGTTTGACTATCTTTCTTAATGAAATCCTTTTTCTTCTAATAAAAAAAAATATTTAACAAAATTTACTCTACTCCTATTTAGTTGGGAGTTTGGGACATAAGTTTAGTTAAGCACACTGACACTCTACATTTTGACGCTTGTAAAGTAAAATTAATCCTTAATCAAATGAGTACACTACGTAAGTATCATTCTGTTGCCGTGTTGCGATTACTCCAACAAAATTAAGGTTTTTTCCATGTTGACCTATAGGCCATAAAAAAATAAAAAATAAAAAATAAACAAAAGGCCATAACATACGCCTAAAGCGGCCTATAAATAGCGATTCACATCAGAAAAGGTTCAATGACCATAACCATATTGAGATAAGCAGTGATGTGAAGTGACAATGCAGTGATCAATGGGATCATCCCTATTTAACGGCTGTGATCACTCGTGTATTTGCCATGCTCACTGTACCACATGGATCTTAGATCATAGGGAATCTCATCAATAATAACATAATATTAAAATAGGCATCAGGAATGACACGTGTCATTTCCTAGTGCTGTATTTTCCCTTCAAAACTCTCCCTTCCTTTTTAAGAAAAAAATCTTTTATTTTTTGAATATTTGTATAAAACAACTATAATAATATTATTCTAAATCTTATATATAATCTTTACATAAAGTGTATTTCTTTTTATTTCGTATTCTTATTTCTTCCATTCACATTTATCTAAAATATTATTCCAGCTCTCTTTTAATTATAGAAAAAGTGAGCAACTGGTTTAGGTACAATATACTATTATTACTAGTTGGACATGTTTTAGACGGAGTACTAAATTAGTAATCGTGCGATGCACGGATTTCACCAAAAAATATTTCGTAAAGTTGTATATTATTAAAATTAAATTAGTTTCTAAATAAATAAGCAACTTACTACAATAATAATATTTTATACTCTTTAATTCAATGGTAGTTAATTTACCACCTATAAGAAAGTGTAGCGCTTAAATAAAAATGAAAACAAAAAATGGTGTAACACTTTAAAAAAGTGGAGTGAGTGATAACAATTATACTTTTGTATGTGTAATGTTATTTTTTAAGATTAAGTTAAGATATTTCTAATTTGAAGTATAAATTGAATTGAAAATTTTTTGTAAGATTAAGTTAAGATATTTCTAATACGAAGTATAAATTAAATTTTATAAGATTAAGTTAACAATTATACTTTGTATGTGATATATTATTTGTAATTTATATATGGGAAATTCTACATGGTGGCCTCTAGGTTTCAATTTTTCTACGTGGAAGACAAACTTTTTTCCAACTCTCACAAGTGGCACTCTAGTTTTGCAAAATTAAGTGTAGTGTCCTTTTTTTTGTTTATAGCTAACTTTTATAATTAAAATAGTTAACCTAAGGTTTTTTTTAGTTTAAAAATTAATTAAATTATATTTTAAAATAATAAAATTTAAAAAAAAGGAAATTTTACCGGCCACCACCACCATCACAGAAGGTGGCAGCCTTCACCATTCCGACAGTCAAGCCCGCCCCCGCCCCCGCCGGCGCCCAGACAACCTTTTCCCGCGCTGGTGACCCGTCCCCCCTCGCCCCTCCCCCTCCTCTTTACCCACTAAACCCACCACATGAAAGCCCCAAATACCTAACCCAAAACCTTAATAAACCCTCCCCCACCATGTTAAACCCCAAATCCGGCCTTCTCCCACCCTCAAAACCCTAGGCAACGGAGTTTCGAGGGTGGGGGGAGGGCCTGATCTGGGGTTTAAAGTGGTGGTGGGGGGGGTTTAGGGGTTTCGGGTTGGGGATAAGGGGTTTTCAGGTGGTGGGTAGGGGGACGGGGTCGCCGACGCGGGAAAAGGATTTTTGGGCGTCGGCAATATGTGGGGGTTCCGGTTGGGGTTGTGGATGGTAGTGGGGAGGGTGGTCGTGGGTTGGGGGCTATTTTTAAATTTTTTTTTTAAAATTTTATTATTTTAAAATATAATTTAATTAATTTTTAAACTAAAAAAAACCTTAGGTTAACCATTTTTATTATAAAAGTTAGCCATAAAACCAAAAAAAGGATACTAAACTTAATTTTGCAAAATTAGATTGCCACTTGAGAGAGTTGGAAAAAGTTTGTCTTCCACGTAGAAAAATTGAAACCTGGAGGCCACCATGTAGAATTTATTTATATATATCATGTGCTAATAGTTTTATTGTAGATTTTATTTTGCTGTTTGAGTAATATTTTCATATTTATTAAAAAACATTTATTAATAAGTCTTTAGTCATATAGTCACTAGATTGTATAGTTTTATTGGGAAAAAAATATGCTTCATTAATATAATATATTGTATACTACTTTTAAATATTTTCAACACAACTAATCAACAATAATTTTTTTTCTCAATTGTAGTTTTAATAATTTTTGTCTTATTATTTTATTTTTCTATATGTGTTGCATTTGTTTATTACACATGAGTTGCCTTATTTTTGTATTATATCACAATTAATTATGGGAAAAAAAATTATTACAACCGTGCATCGCACAAGCACTAATCTAGTTAGTTATAAACTGTACTGTTCACCACCTTTTATTGTTATCAACATTTAACTGAAATGTAATGTCTTTTCCATCAACGGCGAAGCATGTATCTAATTATTAAAATAAATTCAGTTAAGTAAAAATAAGTTTTAATCCGTAAAAATCAATAAAAAAAATTCTACATTATGGCATTTAATTTTGCGTATAA